TGCTGGGTTATCTGTCCCCCTCAGCTTTACAGGATCCTTTTGTTTACTGCTTTCCATAGCCCAAGAAGAGTATCTGGCTGGAATTCTATAAATATTTCTTGCTTGATTAGTAGTTAATTATAAAACATTAGCATCATTTATTGAGACTAATATCTCAGTATCATAGAAGGTCATTTTCTGAAAAGAAAGGTAGGTTTTTTTCCTGCAGATATGTATCATCTATTTGGTGAGATGAGCTTATCACATATTAGTTTCCCATTGATGTACAGCAAATGAACCCCTGACAATAGTGGCCTAAGAGGCATTTATTAACTGACAGGGCTCCTGAGGGTCAGAAATCTGAAAGTAGATGCTGAGGGATTCTGGCTCAGCCTCTTTTAGGTGCTTGCATCAGGATGTCAGCCTGAGACCTTGTTATATGAAGACTTGACTGTGGCTGGCTGATGGCCTTCCCCAAAAGCAAACCACATGGCTCTCCAATGGTGCTGACTAGGAGCAGGAGGCCTCTGTTTCCCCGACATGGACCTCTCTATATAGAATGGCTCACATGTACTGCTGTTGTGACAGCTGAATTACTCAAAGGCAAACAGTGGAAGCCAGCCACAATGCCCTTTATGACTAAGCCTTGAGGCTACCTGGCCATGTCTTCCATATCTTAATGGTTTGTGAAAGTCAGTGTTATTCACTGTGGAAGGAAATTGATTGAACATAGCATGATATAAATACCAGAAGGTGAGAAACACTAAGGAGACTGGCCATGCTGCACTGGACTAAGGAATGAGTCACAGAGGACCACATGCAGGTAAGAACTAAGTTACAAACAGCTCAAGGTTAAAGCACTGCTGAGAACTTGAACTTTTATAACTGGGGCCCCTGAGTTGATGAGATTCAACCATTGTTTGTAGTACAACATCTATTCTAAGAATCTTAATAGCAGAGACTGTATTTGTTCATTTATTTAATGATTCTAAAATTACAAAGTCCATAAAGTGAACCACCTGACCGGAAGGGAGCAAATCTGTATTAATCAGTGTTCTCTAGAGTCACAGAATTTATGGAATGAATCTCTCTCTCTCTCTCTCTCTCTCTCTCTCTCTCTCTCTCTCTCTCTCTCTCCTCTCTCCTCTCTCTCTCTCTCATATATATATATTATATATATATGTGTGTGTGTGTGTGTGTGTGTGTGTGTGTGTGTGTGTGTGTGAAGATATATGTGTGTGTATGTGTGTGTATGGGGATTTATTGGAATGACTTACAGACTGCAGTCCAGCTATTCCAACAATGGCTAGCTATGAATGGAAAGTCCAAGACACAGTCCCACAAGGCTGTGTGTCTCAGCTGGTCTTCTGTATATGCTGGAATCCCAAAGAAGCAGGCTTCAATGCCAGTGAAGGAATGCATGTGCTGGCAAGACAAAAACAAGCAGGCAAAGAGAAAAGCTCCCTTCTTCCACGTCCTTATATAGTTTCCAGCAGAAGGTGTAGCCCAGATTAAAGGTGGGTCTTCCTGCCTCAAGATCTGGATCAACAATGTTTTTGAGAAACACTTAAATACTGGCCTAGGAATGGGACTGTGCCTCAGAAAATGAAACCCCCAGATGAAGGCTTGTGTGGTGGTTTGAATAAGAATAGCTCCATGGGCTCATATATTGGAATGCTTAGTTGCCAAGGAGTAGAACTGTTTGAAGGAATAAGAAGGATTAAGAGGTGTGGCCTTGTTAGAGTAGTTGTGGCCCTGTCGGAGGAAGTATGTCACTAGGAGTAAGCTTTGAGGGTTCAAAACCCAAGTCAGGCCCAGTCTCTCTCCTCTCTCCTTTCTCTCTCTCTACCTGAAGATCAAGATGTAGCTCTCAATGACTGCTCCAGCACCACGTTCCCTGCAATGGTGATAATGAACTAAGCTTCTGAAGCTATAAGAAGACTCCAATTAAATGCTTTCTTTTATAAGAGTTGCCTTGGTCAAGGTGTCTCCTCCCAGCAATAGAGCAGTGATGAAGAGAGCTTGGGAAGCAGCACCAGAAGTAATGTGCTTCTCTGACCTTCTCCTGAACCCACCTCTCACGTCTTGTTTTCCCTCCATGTAAACAGCAGAAACCAGAATCCCTCTTCCCAGAGTGGACCTGAATGCCTTCTCCTCAAAGGCAACTACAAGCTTTAAAAATATTATCCCAACCACCTCTGTTCTCTGTGGAAGAGGTAGCCATGAAAACCTTTCTGGAGTAGGTTATGACACTTCTGCTCTAGAAAAGGCCCTGCCTCAAACCCAGAAGACTGCTCAGAGAGGCCACGAAGTGTCTATACAGAGGTTTGCTGTAACCCCCAATGCTGCCATTACCACTAGATCACATACCTGTCTGTCTATGTTTCTACATTTGACATTCTTCACTAGCAAAGCATAAAAGTAGTTTTCCGAGAACTTTGGCTCTTCATTATGGAAGCTCCTTGGTCACATAAAACTGTGACTAAATACACAAGTTGTGTTCTTCTTCTGCCAGCTTGCCTTTGCTATTGGGGGTGTTGGCCATGGTTCTCACAGTTAGGAGAGGGGTCATACCTTCCAACGCCAAAAAAGGAATAGATCAGCACCCAAAGCCAGGCCTTACAAATAGAAACTACAAAAACACTGAACAAGCATGTACATGGATGGAAGAACAGATGTCACACTTCATTATAAAAACTAGCAATGTAACCCAGAAAAGGTGGAATTTAATATAAAACACTCATTGATTAGGCTCATGCAGGAGAAAAGCTGCATAATCACCTGAGTCAAAGGAGTCAGTAGAGTGATGTGACTCTCTAAAGTGCTACTTCCCTATATATACCTGTTGTTCAAATCTTAGATGGTCTTATAATTAAAAAAAAAAAAACAGAGCCAGATATCAGGGTGAAAGCTGAAAGATCAGAGAAGCAGAACAGCCAGCCACTAGTTCTTACCTCTGCGAAATTCTCAGCCTAAAGAGAGTGAGTTCCTGTTTCCTCATGCCTTATAAACCTTTCTCTGCCCTGCCATATTACTTCCTGGGATTAAAGGCATGTGTGCTTCCCAAGCAAAGGCATGAGATCTCAAGTGCTAGGATTAAAGGTGTGTGCCACCACTGACTGACCTCTATGTCTAATCTAGTGGCTGGCTCTGTCCTCTGATCCTTAGGCAAGTTTACTAGGGTACACAATATATCACCACATACACCCAAATGGAAAGATTACAAAATTCAATCATTCCACCAAAATGTTTCACAGAGCAATGACTCTCCACTAATATTTCTTCACAGTGACTTACTGAAAATGCATGTCAGAACTAAAACAAGAGACATATCATTTCTGCTAATATTTCATTTCATCCCTGGTGACCATCTAACATACTAACCTATCATGTATTTTTCTCTGGGCTATGCTGATGCTCATTTTTGGTCCATTTTGACTATTCTTTAGGGAATTAGCAACAACAACAAAACCTCCACCACCTCATAAGTAATCACTTTGTTCAGAAACAGATGAACCCATGCACATCTGATTTAGCTAATAAAACACTGGTGGACACAAATAACCCTAAAATTGTACATTGGTACTGGCCTATCAATTTCTCTTCCAAGAAAGACTAGGAAAACTGTGTAGATGCATGCAAGGATTGAATGGTGGATTTTTGTGCAAAAGTGGTTTATAATTGTGAAAATATAGAAACAATTTGAATTTCCACTAAGAGGCTAATTCATTGTGTGAATATAAATAGAATAAAATGCCAAGCAATTAGTAAAATCATGTTGCAGGACAATTTTATAGTATGCAAATATTTATATTAACAACTAGGAAGCAAAAGAAAAGGCAATGGAGATTTATTTGGCTATCAATTCATAAATGTTTTTTAAAAATAAAAATTTACTTGAAATTAAGTTTGCAAGGATTTTTCAAATATCAACAGCAATTTATCTACTGTTCATAAGACTGCAAGTGACTTTCATTTTCATATTGAAACAGTCTCTTCTTTAATGAGCTGAGTGGCAGGTGGTCTACCTACATCCGTATCCACACTCTTTGGTGGCACGTTTCCATCTGACTGGTATGAGCTTTATGACTTGATTTGAACAAAGGAATGTCAGTAAAGAGGATGCAAGTAGAAGCTTCCTTCCTTGTCTGATGCTGTCACTGGGATCTTTCTCTGGACTCTTCCCAAATCCCTGATCTTTGTGCTCTTTATAATCCAGACAGGATTCAGTGTCATGTAGAATATATGTAGAAGTTGGATCGGAGTAACTTGAACACATTCTTGAGGAGTAAGAGTGGATGTGGTGGTCTGAAAGAAAATGACTCCCAAAGGGAGTGGCACTATTAAGTGGTATGGCCTTGTCAGAGGAAGTATGTCACTGAGAGGGTAGGCTTTGAGGTCTCTTTTGCTCAAGCTTCTTTCATTGACAGTCAGTTGACTTCTTGTTCCCTCAAGCCAAGATGTAGCTAGCACCATATCTGCCTATGTGCCACCATGCTCCTGCCATGATGATAAGGGACTGAACCTCTGAAACTGTAAGCAAGCCCTCAATTAAATGTTCTCCTTATAAGAGTTACCATGGTCATGGTGTCTCTTCATAGCAATAAAAACCCTAAGACAGTGAACAATGGCCAAGGGACCACTGTGCTGATCTACATCTGAGGCAGGTTTTATATTACTTCTAAGGTCTCTAGAACAAGCAACTCTTAGGGAATATAACTTTGTCCTGGTGATTGACAGGCCCATTTGGATTGATTCTAACAGGAAGAGAAATCATATGTCCTTGAATCAGAAAGCCCACTGCTAGATGGAAAGCTTGTAAGATGTGGGGGCCGGCAGTGGTGGCACACACCTTTAATCCCAGTACTCGGGAGGCAGAGGCAGGTGGATCTCTGTGAGTTTGAGGCCAGCCTGGGCTACAGAGTGAGTTCCAGGAAAGGCACAAGGCTACACAGAGAAACCCTGTCTCAAAAAACCAAAAAAAAAAAAAAAAAAAAAAGATGTGGGGCTCCAGAGCCAGGTTTAGTTATCTATTAATGACCTTCTGGGCAGCTGAGAATGTCACACCTCCTCCCAGGGCCCAAGACAGCAATTAGAACTCTGCTGTTCCAGCCCTTGGCTTTATACATCCTGCATGTTATGAGGGAAAGGGGTCTACCCTCTGTCCTCCAAGCCTGTTAATATCTTATCAGCTGTCTCACAGTGAGGCTCGTTCTTGCTCTGGTTGCTCTGATGCCTCCATGAGGACAAGCCTGGGCTAGTCTAGGTCAAAAGGAAAAGTGAAACATGAAGCTGAGTCAAATTCAGACTTCCCCACGTAGGATGCTCTAGGTCACCAAGAATCTGCCTGCTTTCCAGACAAGTGAGGGAGCCTAGAAAGATCAATGGAGCCATGGCCAAGCAGATTTGAAGCTGATCACAGACATAAGTGAGACTCACTGAAATTGGCCAAACAAACACCACAGGTTCACACTCAAGGTGATGGAAGTACACAAAGTGCCAATGTTCCTGCTAAATTGTCAGAAAATGTCAAATCAAGATGAAAGTGATAACTGTCAACATGCAAGCCAGGGACTTTGCTATAGCCTAGGCAGGGAGGTCATAAAGTGGAAACACATATAGCCCTCACCTCTAGGAACCTACACAAAGAATGGGGTTTCCTGCCATAGCCATTGCTCTCAGACAGTTAGCAGCAGCTGTCTGAATGTACTACAGACCAGGCCTTTCAGTTGCTTGAGCTGGTTAAAAATGCATTAGCTCCTCACCAACAGGATTCTGAGAGCAGATAGAATAAAGGAAGCTGCTCCAGCCACCCGATGAACTTGAAGTAATGAGGTCTATAAGTTGACTTGAACAGATGGAAATGATATTAAGCTTTCATGGAGGACAAATGAAAGTATCTATCTGTAACATCCCTGACATGCAGAGACCTTTTGCCATTTAAAACTTTGCTGCTGTGGTACATTATTCCCAGGCAGCTGAGAGTTTAATAAGACTTTGTGCAGACACCTAACCTGCCAGTTCTGGCTGCCTGCTGGCAACCCTAAGGCTCTTGATGTGGAAGCTGACAATCTGAGGTAACATCAGGGCAATGATTCCCTGAGACACAGGGGCACAGGCTGGCACAGTAATGTCTGTCTGCTGCCCTCTCATGCATGCCAGTCTCAGAACGATCTGATTCCAAGTCAGCTTGGGTGTTTAACTCTACACATACTGAATCTCCTGCACATAGAGTGCTTCCCTTTGCTGTGATGTCAAGGTCTTCCTTGAACAAATCTTGCCTGCTTTGTCCAGCCTTAACTCCCTTCATCCCCACCCCCACACCCCCGCCATGGCCCTCCACTTACTAAGGTTACTTACCTGCTCCCATTTCTCTCCCTTCAGCACTTCCTTTTCTGTCTCAGAGTCAGGCCACACCCTCCCTGCAGTTCTCTCTAGAAGAGTTGAGAACAAGGCAGGCTGTGCTGTGGCCTTGTAGTCTCCCTCCCACTAGCAGCAGAGAGCAGGCTCAGCTCCCACTTCCTAGAGCAGGGACAACCTTAAGTCACAGCTAGTCTTTATCAGAGCTTCCTGGTCTGTCCCATGCAGGACAGGTCAGACAGAACCACAGGGTGAAGCCTACCCACCTGTCTCAGTATCTATGAGGCAGAAGCTGTGTCCTCTGGTCCTGATGGGTCTGTCTGTCTGTCCTTTCAGAGTTTATTGTGTGACCATGCAGCCACTTTCCCAGTACTCTCCCTCTTCAAGGCCTGCTCATGGTTGCCCATGGTTTGAGGCTCTCTCTTAACAAAGCTCATTCTGAGGGTAATTTTGTGTCAGCTCTTTTCTGTGAACCTACATTACATTTCTAACACCCACCTCTGTGTTGCTCTGTAGCTTTTCTCTTCTCAGGTGGCCCACCATTTTATCTTCAAATACAGCCAGCCACTGAAAACTGTTCTTGGGATCCTATCCTTGAGGAATGATGCATATTTTACTCCTCTATAGCATCTATACTCTATGGGTATTTCATACAGAAGAACTTTAACTTCTCTTGCTGTACTTTGAGTTACATGCTCCAACCTCACCTATAGAGATACTGAGCCAATAGGGAAGTGTCCAGGACTCTAATATTCCAAAGATCCAGAGATGCTGCTGTTTGGGAACCATGTTGAATAATAATACCTGTTTCTAATACAATGAGACAACTGACATTTTTGTCTTTTAAGAATTCTCAAACTTTATTATATGACTATTTTTTAAATATTTCCTTATAACTTAAAATATTCCAGACAACTACAAAAACACTTTACACGTGTGTTACATTTGAGTTCTCTCTGAGACTGGTAACAGAACAGGCAGCCATTTTAATAGTCACATTGGAAGAAGGGCCTAAACATTTATTGTACAGCACCTGTTTATGAGATAAGTTTCATAAAGAATTCTAAAAATCAAGCAAACAAAAAAGTCTACAATACAAAAATCAAGACTTTAAAATTCTACAATTCTAACACCCTAACTTAAATGTCACTTGATAGGCTC